CCTGCTGGGCTCCGGCGATCCTTCCGCCTCAACCTTCCGAGTAGCTGGAACTACAGGCATGCGCTACCACGCTCGGCTGATTTTTTTGATTTATTGTAGAGATGAGGTCTCGCTGCCCAGGCGGGTCTCGAACCCGTGAGCTCAGGCAATCCATTCACCTCAGCCTCCCAAAGGCACAGGATTACAGGCTGAGCCACCAAGCCCGGCTAAGGCTTAGTTTAACCAAGCTAATTTGCTAGCCCAGGGAGAGCCAGTGTAGGAGTTCCATCAATTACCTAACTTCCATCAAGAATTGAACCCACGTTCTGGAGCGTTATGGAGACTGTTACTGTGACCTCAGAGACTGTGGCTATGAATCTGAAGATAACAAAACATACACCTTCTCTTACTAACTTAAGCCATATTTGTCATCTGTGATTTTTCTGACCCTGGTGCTTTTACTTCTGTTTCTGCCAAACTTCAACCTACTCTATGGGAAAGGTGAGTGAAAGTAGTAGTTAGGACAAATATGAAGACTGTGAAAAAACCAAACATACTCTTTAGAATGAGATCCTACTCAGAGAACAGTAGTGATCAAAGTGCAAACTGTTGGGAATATGGATATATGTACATCTGTACATGTATATAGTGTATAATATGTATGTATATGTTATTGCTCATATGCAGAAATCTATCCATTTGCAGACAGCCCAGGTGGGTCAATTTTTCTACTGGAAAACCGTTTAGGGCCATTCAAAACTGTTAGGGCTAATTTGTGGAGACAAATTCTAGTCATTTGGGAATTAATTTGCTATCTTTTGAAGTCCACAAAGCAAAACTAACAAAATGTGAAACATAATCGGGCCATCATTTAAGTTACTCTGTTTCCCTGGACTTAGAACTATATTTATATTTGAATTACTAATAATTGATGTGCAAATTGTATTGGCATCTCTTGGTTTTGAGTGGCCCCTTCCCTCCCAAGTCTTTTGAGAATTTGGGGTGGGCTTCTCTGGCCATTCAGATAAAGGGCCTTATTCATAAGTGGACAGGTTTCCCCATAGGGACCATTACACATATACATATAAGTACATACTTCCATCAGGCTTGTTGCAATTGATTTAAAATCACTCCACAGTATTGATAAATAGCTCTATATTTTCAAGGTGCAGAGGAATTCCACAGCCTTAATTATTTCAGTGTCTTGCTGGTCTGCCTTAAGTGTATCTTCTGGGTTTTGGTTGTTTTATTATTTTTAAATTTTTCTGCCGTTGTTCATTTTGTATGCACACAATGTCGTTTTGTAAAGGTAGGTTGTAAATATTTTATTTGTAAGTCAAAATCACTCATGTGTAATGTTGTAAAGTGATGACCTGTTGTCTTGTTATTATTACTACAGTAAATGTTATAAGTTATGGATGAAATTTCAAAATGTACATCTCACATGTTATGCATTCCTATAAATATACTATACTAAAGATATTATATCTGGTCATCTTTTTTTCAAATTAAAACCTTTGTTCAAAGAAAAATATTTTTTCCCCTTCCAATATATGAAAACCTTTGACAAGGTGAAAAAAACCACATTGTTATAATAAAACTTTTGGCCCAGCATTTTAGAAAGAAAGCAAGAATTTTGTGCCTTGGAACAATCTAAGACATTTTTCTATCCAAAAATGTCAAGAAAGCCTCAGGTTGCTGTTAATTTCATTCTTGTGTTTCAGGTTGTAACTAGACGGCTGACAGGCCACCTGGCCTGGATCTCACAAGGGTATGCATTCTGGTGTGGACTCCAGGAACCTGGTTTAGCCTACAGATATGAGCAGGCTTTGAAAGCCTATATGTGCCACCATGTGCAAATGAAGCTGATTCATGGGTACACTGTCAACTAGCTAGAATGTCAGAGATTAAAGTGTTTTGATTAACTTTGCTGATAAGGACAAACATGTTTTAACATTGCCTTCTATTTCATCAAGATTTTTTGCATTTGTTTGTAATAAAAAACACCTGTCAAAACCTTGGGCTCTTCAGAGAAAATATAGATAATAAAGAATATAAAATATAGAAATTAATTCAGAAAATGCCTGCTGAATTAGAATCATGAGCTCCCTATGGGTTTTTATTTAGAGTTCCAGAATTTGTATGTAGTTTTGCACCTATAGGAAGGGGACCTCCAAAAAACCGGAATTGTCTTCTGGAGGGCAGGCCCCTTGGAGTATACTTAGAATTTGCTTCTCCAGATCAATCAACCAACCAAAGTTTTTATCTGAAAGTTTTGAGAAGGTTGCATCACAATTTGCAGAAGAAACGTACTGAGTTGTGGCAAACAAGTGATTGGTTCTTCCACCATGCCAACACACCTGCCCACATCGTGCTTAGTGTTCAGCAGTTTTTGACCAAAACCAGAATGACCCCAGTGCCCTATCCTTCCTAGTCACCCAATCTGAACCCAAGGGACTTTTTTGTTTTCCCAGATGAAAAAAATTCCCAAAAGGAAAAGTTTTGCTGATGTGGAAGAGGTGAAACATGAAATAGCAGAACTGATGAGTTCAAAACTGTTTTTAGCAGTGAAAAAAGTGTTCTCAGTAGATGTATTGCATCAAATGGAGGGTTCTTTGAGGGTGATTGAAGTTTAAATATATAAGAATGAATACACAATGTTTATAAATAAATTCCATTTCTTTGGGTCTCCCTCATATACCTTACAAAACATTCATAATTAATATTTATAATTCATATTTAATTTAATTCCTACACATTCTTATAAAGTAACATTATATTTGAAGTAGAGATAACTTAGGTACAGAATTTAGGTGACTGTTCAAGGCCACTGAGATATTAACTGGAAGAGAAATAAAACAATACATGTGTGTGTTTTACTGTGTCTGTGTGTCTATAGAGTAGGTCAAACAATAATAAAATAAAATAATTAAATAACAATACCCTAGCCTGTATTTTTGGGGGAGGGAGTAATTGAGAGGAATGGCCCAGTACATTTATAGGAAATTAGTAAAAGCCCTAATACAAATGATAATCAAACCCCCACATTCAGTCTACAGTAGATAGCAGAATATAGAAGGCTGTCAGTGAGCAATATAGAGCCAAGTCCATGGAAAAGATCCAGTGAATTACTGCATGAAGTTTTACATTAAAAGAAACTCTTTAGGATAAAGATAAATGCCTAAACAAATAAGACTAAATATTGATTACAGTCAAGATCTGTTATCCAGCCCAGGTAAATGAAATGGAGAACACAAACTGAATTGGTACAATTCATGTTCTACTAACTTTTTATAAAGAGTTTTTGAGTGAACGATCTCATTGAATCTTCATAGTAACCTTTGGAGAAGGTTAATATTATTATCTTTATTCTATTTTTGAGAAGATTGAGGCTCACATAACTTGAAATGCATTGCCAAAGATCACCTAGCCAAAAAGTATAGCTGGGGATAAATGCTTGGTTTGAAATTCCACATTCTTTATAGTGTACTTTTCAAGGCATAGTAATATAGTACACTATACTTTTAAAAAATTATTTTACTAGCCGGGCATAGTAGTACAGGCCTGTGGATCCAGCTACTTGGAAAGCTGAGGTGGAAGGATAGCTGGAGCCCAGCAGGTGGAGGCTGCGGTGGCCAGGAGCGGACACTGCACTCCAGTCTGGGCGACAGAGTGAGAATCCAACTAAAAAAAAAAAAAATTATTTTAGTTGCACAATAATTGTACATATTTATGAGGATACATAGTGATATTGTGATACATACATACGTGTAGTAATCAAATCAGGGAAATTGAGATATTCATCCCCTCAGAAGTTTATAATTTTTTTGTGTTGGGAGCATTCAAAATCCTCTCTTCTAGCTATTGTAATTATAAAATTTATATGTAATTTATAATATGTTGCCAGGCGGGTCTCAAACCGGGGAGCTCAGGCAATCCGCTCACCTCAGCCTCCCAAAGCGCGGGATTACAGGGTGAGCCACCGAGCCCGGCTAATATAATACATTTTTAACTATAGTCACCCTGCAGTGCTATAGGGCACTAGAACTTACTCCTCCTAAGTAGCTGTAACTTGTATCCTTTAACCAACCTATAGTCTTCAGCTCCTAGTAACTACTACCATGCTACTCTCTATGAGATCTACTTTTCAGCTTCCTTATGAGTGAGAACATGTGATAGTTACCTTTCTGCTCTTGGTTTACTTCACCTAACATGTTCTCCAGGCTCATCTACGGTGACGTCAGGAACATGATTTCATGCTTTTTTAATGTAAGACCTACGGTTTCAAGGGTTGTTTTCCTTAAACTAGGATGGATTAACATACTGCCTTCAATACCGAGTGAAGATCTTCTCTACTTTAAGGAATATGTTTGTAAAGACCAACTATGTTTGGATTTTCGGATTGCTTAGCAATCCCAAACCCTGATACCGATCAGTTCGTCTTCCTCTAACTCTCCTCCCCCTTCCTCATCCCCTCTACACCTATTACACGACAAGCATTTGATATACTCCAAGAGAAATAAAAAACTTCCTCCTCCAGGACTCAGAGTGCAAACAAGAAGAGGCCATGAGTACTGTCATTACTTAAGTGCTTTATATTCCTATGTGCAAACTGCTATGAAACTGTCATGTACCAGATGCTATGACGTTAATAAAAGAATCGAGTCAAGGTCCCTGTCTTCGAGAATTTACACTCTTATTTGGAGAAACGTGGGGGGAAAGTAGTGGTTAATAACTGGCAAATGACATGCTAGGCCGAGGACTGGAGATAGTTAAGAGCACTAGTCAGGAGGATGTTGAGTTATTTTTTTTTTAAAGGACAGGATTTATACGAACTTTCTTGAGAGGCTGGACTTCAGGACGCGAGGGGCAATCTAGTTGCTCGGGGATCGAGACGCTAGGTCCGCTCGCACCGCCGAACCTCGGCCCTGGGGACTCCGAAGCCGGCACACCAAGCCGGAAAACCGCCGGGAAGCGGGGCGGAAGAGGCGGGGCTTCTACGGTGACGCCACCGGGGCGCCCGCTGCCGGGCGCGCCTTGGGTTTTGCAGCGAACCGGAAGTGCGGGAAGATGGCGGCCGCTGGAGCAGTTTTGGGCCCACTCGTGACGGAGCTGTACGATGTGCAGGCTTTCAAGTTTGGGAACTTCGTGCTGAAGAGTGGAATCTCCTCCCCCGTCTATATCGATCTGCGGGGCATCGTGTCTCGACCGCGCCTTCTGAATCAGGTATTAGTCCGGGAAGGGAAGAACCGGGCTAAGTGGCGGGAAGGGGACCAGGAAAAGGGAGGGGGTGACAGGAGTTAGGTCGTGGGACGAGAGCAAAGGAACCAAGCAGGCGGGTCGACCCCGGTGTTGGCCTGGGGAGTAGGCGTGAGAAGCACAGCGGCGAGTGGTTGTTGGCTCTTAGAGAGCAGCCGGTTCTTTGACCTGGGCGTAGACACGTGCTTTGCAAGAGTCCGGAAACTCAGTTTGGTGCCCTGTCTAGCACCGAAGTACTTGAATGAATTTCTGTTTGACCCCAAGAAAATTGGACTTGGGGAAAAAGGAAAAGTTGTGTGGGCGGTGAATTTAGTCACTGGTCTGTTACTTGTGAGAAAAGAAGCTCAGAGCAGTCTGAGCTATGTGAGGCATGCAAATATATCAGGATCAGAGAGATATGAGTATGGGACTTCAGTTACGCTCCTGCACGCATCCCCAGAGGCATTGTGATACAAAGAACTAGGTATAGCCAGTTAATAGTTTATTTTATTTAGCCTTTTTTTAGAGATCGTCTTGCTTTGTCGCCAGCAGGAGTGCAGTGTCGTTATCATAGCTCACTGCGGCCTTGAACTCTTGGGCTCAAGCAATCATCCCGCCTCACCCTCCCTAGCAGCTGGCACTGCAGGCGCTAGCTTATGTTATTTTAGTGTAAATTCTTGGTGAACAACTTAGGAACTGCTTCTTTTCCTTTGAAAATTCTCTTGGCTACACTTGTAACTGTTGCTAACTGAAGCCTCTATTCAGGGCAACTTGAATTTATGCTTCCGTGTTACGCTCCTTAAACTTGGCCCAAATAAACTCTCTTTTATATTAATTGTACCTCAGCTTCTTCCTTTTAGGTCAACACTTAGAACGACTGTTGATTGGAGAGGGGTATTCAGTTTTGCTTTGTGTGGCTAGGAACAAGAATTAGGCCACAAGGTGGACATTTCAGGGAAGCAGTTTTTGGTCAATATAAGGAAAAATTTTGTACAAATTCGAGACTTTTTACACAGTGCTTCTCAAACTTTGAGTACTTAGGAATTGCCTGGGAATTTTATTACAATGCAGAATCCAGTTCAGTAGGTCTGAGACAGGGCCTTTTATATATTTCTAGCAAGGTGCCCACTCAAACTGCAGACCACACTTTGAGTGGGAGAATGTAAAATGTGTGTCCAACAGAGTTGCTACTAGCCACTTGTGAATATTGAGCAGTGTGAATTTTTAATTTTAAATAGTCTTATGGGGCTAGTGGACATAATCTAAGATTGTCCAATCTATATATTGGCCAGCACAGATGTAGAACATTTCTGTCATCATGTTATACTATTAACTTCTCACCATCCAGGATCTTGCAGTAGTGCTAATTATCAGTGTGGAGAAAGTGAATTGTTAAAGATTTTCTAATGAAAAATTGTCTTTTGTTAACAAGTCAGTTAACAAAAACTTGTTTTTTTTAAGCTAGAGCATGGTGTGTATGTGATTTTGGTAATTAATTGGGAAGGAGTACAAAACATGGAGAGTCCTAACTATAACAAATCTCCTTTTCATATCTACTTATGTGAATAGAGTTTCTCAGCATTTACACCCCAAAAGTGTGATAGAATTTATACCAAACTCTAAGTTCCTGGTAATAAGTCATATTTGACTAGTATTATGTATACATTAGTGTACATAAACTAATTGGAGAGGAAAGATAGCATTTCTCTCACTAAGAAAGCATTTCCAAAATTTTTTTTGTGTCTGTCAAAATTTGCAGATTATATTTTAATTAATTATAATTTTAATGATATGCAGAAGAATTCTTAATGGACACTTAGGATCATAGGGAATTTTTTTATTACAATTTCGAATTTCAGTTAACATAGATACAGAGAAGTATGATAGTGGGATCAGTAAAAGCTTTTCAAGTTTAAGTATACATTGCATTAGAATAAAATTCTGTGGACATAGTGGAGTGAAAACTGAGTTAGAAAAATATGCTAAAATTTTCCAACTTTCGTAGTCTAGCGGTTTCTTTTTAATTTTTTTAAATGAAGATATGGTGATTGTCAAATCACTTTAGCATTTGGATTCCAAGTGTTTTTGTTAAAAAGAGTGATATAACAGTTCCAAAATAATGTTAATGTTTTTAGTACTAGAAATTACATTCCTTGCAACTTAAAAATATGTATAGATTTTTAAATAGTTAGAAGTGCTGAAGTAAATTTTTTAAAAAACTTATAATCTAGTTCATGAAGCACCTCATTGATTGTTTGCCTTTTTAAAAATAAATAAGGTGATGTTGGGTGTGAACATGCATTCTAACATCAAAATGTGATGATTTATGTGGAAAAGGAGATTATAAAATAGTACTTTATACAACAGGCTCTGTATTTATAAAACTTCTTAATTGAAGACTTCTTTCAGAAAATACAGCTAAAAGGTTTAGGTACTTAAAGCATAATAGATTTCTAAGGGAAACTGGAAAGTCAGAGGCTATCCTTAGTATTTGAGGTCAACATTAAGATGTTTCCCAACACATCTCATGTTACCTTCAGAACAGACCGTGAGTTTAGCTGAGTAGGTTTATTCTTATGTTTTTAGATTTATATGTGAATACTAGGACTTATGAAGTGGATTATTGAATAAAAAGGCTTTTGGGTATATTTCTCCGATTAGGTTTGAGACTAACCTCCACTAGGTTATTACTGTCTTTAATGTTATGTTGTTACATGATTTATACACCATTTAAAATGGTAATAATAGTAGTTTATGTGTTCATTTTCTTACAGGTTTCAGATATTTTATTTCAAACTGCCCAAAATGCGAGGATTAGTTTTGACACTGTGTGTGGAGTACCTTACACAGCTTTGCCATTGGCTACAGTTATCTGTTCAACTAATCAAATTCCAATGCTTATTAGAAGGAAAGAAACAAAGGATTATGGTAAGATAAAAGTATCATATGCGTTAAGTTAATTAATCTATAACCTGATACTGTTAGAATTTTTTTCTTTTCTATACACTGGTGTTTTACCAGAGTGATCTTGAATACTCTTCGTCCTTTAAGTTATTGCCTGTGAAACTTTTTAACTGTTGCTATAAATTGCCTTCCTGTCCTTTAAAGTCTAGGGGTGAAAGGCATTGTATTGATTAGCTATTGAAAAAAGGCGCTTTTTTGGTACCATTTCTGTGAGACCCAAGCATTTTTTTAACCAGCCCTTTCCTCCACTAGAATGTTCCAAGAGCAAGTACTTTCCAAGTATGTTTTAAACTACCTGAAGAATCATACATGAATAAAATTACTGTAGCAAAGCAATGTAAACACCTCCAGGAGTTTTTTGTTTTGTTTTGTTTTGCGGGTTCATGGGAATAGGATATTAGGTGGCTTGCTTTAAAATCTGAAAATTAATCTTGATTTTAAGAAATTAATGGTCTTTTTTGTTTTGTTTTATGTTGGTATGGTAGCGTTTTGTTACATTTTTTGGAAATGAGTCCTTTTACAGATGCATTTTTAATGTGTTTTATGATGAAATCATGTCATGTCTGAGATTTACTTCTAAAAATAATGAGTGGGAAAGATTGTGAGGATATAGATGAAACAAGACTGACCACGAGTTGTTAGATGGTGAGGTTCTGTATTCATAGGTGTTCATTATACTATTTTGTCTACTTTTGTTTTTTTTTTTTATTTTTGAAATTGACAATATAGAAAAATATTTAGTCGAGTTTTTGCTGCTTAAGGACACAGCGTTAGATTTTTTTGAGCTAATTATCTACATGAATTCTTACCCATAAAAAAAACTATTTTGTGAAGGCCAGAGGATTGCCTAAGTCCAGGGTTCGAGACCAGCCTGGGCAACTAAGTGGGACCTCATCTCTGCAATAAATAAAAAAATTTGCTGGGTGTGGTGGTGCATGCCTGTAATTCCAGCTACTTGGAAGGCTGAGGTGGAAAATCCTGAGCCCAGCAGGTCGAGGCTGCAGTGGCTGTGAGCGTGCCACTGCACTCCAGCCTGGGGGACAGAGTGAGACTCCAACTCAAAAAAAAAATAACTGGTAGGGGAAAATATAAAGATGAGTCTATAAAGCCTATAGCCTGAGTTATTTATGTTTTGTACATTATATGAAAATAGTCTATAATAGGGCTTGGGGTAGAGAAGTATAGATTTAGTCACATTACAGTATATAATTTTTTCAATTGTGGTAATGAATCTAAATGATTGTTGAATGTTTTTCCTTCAGACGCTGTAGCTTCAAAAAGCCAATTATTTGACTGATCTTGAATGATGAACTTGTAATATTTGCTGATGGAAAAAGTAATGATTTCATTGATGATACTGGATTATTCTCTTTCATAACAGCCTTGATCTAGATGATATTGGTGTAAGAAACTCCATATTTGAAAATTCAGCCGGGCTCAGTGGCTCAGCCTGTAATCCCACGCTTTGGGAGGCTGAGGTGAGTGGATTGCCTGAGCCCGCGGGTTCGAGACCTGCCTGGGTAACTTGGTGAGACCTCATCTCTACAGTATATCAAAAAATCAGCCGGACATGGGAGCGCGTGCCTGTAATTCTGGCTACTCGGAAGGCTGAGGTGGAAGGATTGCCGGAGCCCAGTGGGTCGAGGCTGCAGTGGCCAGGAGCGGCCACTGCACTCCAGTCTGGGCGACAGAGTGAGACTCCAACTCAAAAAAAAAAAAAGAAAAGAAAATTCAATCATAAAGCACATTAAGTAATGTTTATTTACACTGCAAAATAAGTGACTTGCTTTATTATAATATTCTATGTGTGTAACTGGCAATTTTGGGATACAAAGACACTGAGCAAAACGGTCTTCATGGCATTTTGAAGATTCATCAGGTATAAAGATAAAGTAGCTCCAAAGTAGATAATCAGCAAGTAAGGTTTAGATCATGTACCTCTTCATAAGTGCATACCAAATTTATACCACAATATACTCCTTGAATTGACTGAAGTTTTTATCTAGGTGTTTACAAATTCAGAATCAACAGGACTTTTTCTTTTCTAGGTACTAAACGTCTTGTAGAAGGAGCTGTTAATCCAGGAGAAACCTGTCTAATCATTGAAGATGTTGTCACCAGTGGATCAAGTGTTTTGGAAACTGTTGAGGTCCTTCGGAAGGAGGGCTTGAAGGTTACTGATGCTATAGTGCTGTTGGATAGAGAGCAGGGAGGCAAGGACAAGTTGCAGGAGCGTGGGATCCGTCTCCACTCAGTGTGTACCTTGTCCCAAATGCTGGAGATTCTCAAGGAGCAGAAGAAAATTGATGCTGAAATGGTTGGGAGAGTGAAGAGATTTATTCAGGAGAATATTTTTGTGGCATCTAACCATAACAATTCTCTCCCTCCTGTAACGAAAACACCCAAAGAACTCAGCTTTGGTGCACGTGCAGAGCTGCCTGGGATCCACCCAGTTGCATCGAAGCTTCTCAGGCTTATGCAAAAGAAAGAGACCAATCTGTGTCTGTCTGCTGATGTTTCAGAGGCCAGAGAGCTGTTGCAACTGGCAGATTCTTTAGGGCCCAGCATCTGCTTGCTCAAGACCCATGTAGATATTTTGAATGATTTTACTCTGGATGTGATGAAGGAGTTGACAACTGTGGCAAAACGTCATGAGTTCTTAATATTTGAAGACCGGAAATTTGCAGATATAGGAAACACAGTAAAAAAGCAGTATGAAGGTAAGTATATTATTCAGGAATCTGCAAGAACCAGAAATCCAGCCTAAACTGACTGCAGAAAAAGAGGAAATGCTCACACAACTGAAAGGCCATTCATAGAGCAGACAGTCAAGTGTAGTTGGATCCAGGAACTCATGTGGTATCTTCTGGACTTGGCTTTCTCTCCATGTCTCAGTTTTGCTTTCTTCTCTGCTAACTTCTTAGGTAGGCATACTCCATGTACCTACCCCAAACTAGCCACTGTAGCCTGGGTTGTAGAATACCTTCATTAGCTAGCTAGGTAATAGCTCTGTAACTGTGAGGTTGCTAACTCGAGTTAAACTTCTTTAATTGAGAACCCAGCAGGGATAGTTTCCCTAAAGAAAATGGATGTTCTGATACCAGAAGGGTACATGGTTCTGGGCAGACAGAAATGTCAGATGTTGACCCCCAGCAGAATATGATGAGTTTTTAATGAAAAATTACAGCTATAGAAATAATGAAAAAGCAGTGTGATGGTAAGATTTATTTCTAGCAGAAGGTAGGTTGATACATACTTTTGAAAAAAAAAGATGTTTCGGCCGAACTCAGTGGCTCAGCCTGTAATACCGTGCTTTGGGAGCCTGAGGTGAGTGGATTGCCTGAGCCCGTGGGTTCGAGACCCGCCTGGGCAACTTGGCGAGACCTCATCTCTACAATAAATCGAAAATTAGCCGGGCGTGGTAGCATGCGCCTGTAGTTCCAGCTACTTGGAAGACTGAGGCGGAAGGATTGCTGGAGCCCAGCAGGTCAAGGCTGCAGTGGCCATGAGTGGCCACTGCACTCCAGTCTGAGTGACAGTGAGACTCCAACTCAAAAAAAAAAAAAAAAAGAAAGATGTTTCTTATATCAGAGACTCAAAGTAGTGCATGTGTTGGGTGAAAAAAATGCTTAGTTTCTGTTGCTCATTCTTCTATGCAAATTTCTGTCAGTTTTTACAAGGTGGGATCATACTATATATAGCGTATGCTTTTTTCTTTTAACTTTATAACATTTGGTCACTTTATTTAACAGTTTTTGTAGGTATTTTTTTTGCTTAAAGTAGTGCATGCATATTCTTAAGCTGTTTCTTTAGAATAGGTTTGTCTGTAAGTGACTTTATCTGCTTAAGATGTCCTACCATTGTTACATTACTTAGCTTAATTTAGCCTATTGACTGGTGTTAAAGTTACACAAACTTTCTTGCGTTTGCATATGGGTTTTTCTAAAATCAGGGTTTTTACTGTCAGCTTTTAAAATGACTGTAACTGCCTGTTGAATTTAGAATAGCTAAAGAGAGCTAAGGAACATACAGAAATATTGAAAGTGAAGCTGCTGAGAGGTCCCTGCAAAGAAAATTTGTTATCTTCAAGAGAAATTTTGAAATGTCAGTATCCTTGACCACAATAAATGTATGTCTTCACAGAGTCGCTTTTTTATTAGTTGGAGTCTCACGCAGTCACCCAGGCTAGAGTGCAGTGGCACGCTCATGGCCACCCCAGCATCGACTGCCTGGGCTCAGGCGATCCTTCTGCCTCAGCCTTCCAAGTAGCCGGAACTACAGGCACGCACTACCACACTTGGCTAACTGTTTGATGTATTGTAGAGATGAGGTCTCAATATTTTGCCCAGGCAGTTCTTGAACCCGTGGACTCAGGCAATCCTCTCACCTCGGCCACCGTGCCCAGCTTGGAGTCCCTTTCTAATTGCATGAGCTTTATTGATAGTCACAAACTTTAGCTTGCAAGGAAAACAATCTTATCAGTGTTCCTGATAAACCAAGTGCAGAACTTGAAGTTTTTTTCTCCCTGTGTTCTCTGACCCAGCTGCTAGGAAGACAGATATATTTTTTACAGGAGGATCCATGCATCCACTGATAATCACTAAAGTTCTTGAAGTATTTGACTCTTTCCTTTAACATGTTACTGGGAGATTATTTTATATTGTAGTTGGTTGGTTGGACAAGAGGTTAGAGGTTTTTATTTGAAAGCTGTAAACCTCTTTCTTCCCTTCTTAGGTGGTGTCTTTAAAATAGCTTCTTGGGCAGATCTAGTAAATGCTCATGTGGTGCCAGGCTCAGGAATTGTGAAAGGCCTGCAAGAAGTGGGCCTGCCTTTGCATCGGGGGTGCCTGCTCGTTGCAGAAATGAGCTCTGCTGGTTCCCTGGCCACTGGAAGCTACACTCAAGCAGCGGTAAGTGATGGAGGAATTGGGGTGAGAGAAGGCCAGGACTGTTACACTGCATGCTACAGGGCAAGAGAATATCTTAACCTGGGATCTATGGAACCTGCTCCAAAAATTCAGCTCTTGACAATGTGGCAATATATTCATTTCTAGTTGGATGGAGTTCCTTGATAGTTAATAGTATTTGGTATCTTACAGTGGAAACTTAAAGAATTTGAATTGTACTCTGAGAGAAACTTTGAGACAGATAGTCAAATAAACATCTACATATGCCTACCTGGACTTTAAAATAGTTGTCTTTTTCATCTCACCATGAGTTGAGAGTGAAGATAAGAGCTTCCCAGACACGCAGTTTCTCAGAATCTCAAGTCTAAGAGATGTACATTCTCATGATAGCACCTACGTGAAATGACTTTCTTTTTTTCTGTCTTTGATATTGATTGGCTTTATGTGGGAAAGCTCTTTTCTAGATCCTGATGCATTGTTTCCTTCAGTAATTCTTCCATTATTAAAAGTTATACCAGTCAGGTGCAGTGGCTCATGCTTCTAATCCCAGCACTTTGGGAAGCGGAAGCGAGAGGATTGCCCGAGTCCAGGGGTTCGAGACCAGCTTGGGTAACTTGGTGAGACCACATTTCTACAATAAATCAAAAAATTAGCCAGGCATGATAGCATACATCTGTCGTAGTTCTAGCTACTTGGAAGGCTGAGGCAGAAGGGTTGCCTGAGCCCAGTGGGCCGAGGCTGTGGTAGCTGTGAGTGTGCCACTGCACCCCAGCCTGGCCAACAGAGTGAGGCTCCTACTCAAAAAAGTTAAACCGCCATGCATGTTAATGCTCACTCCCCACCCCATTTCTATCCCTGCATGTCAAAGCAGATATGAGATGGATAAAAGTTCTCCTTTATATTTTCCTCTGGGTGAATTTCATAGTTGGGTAGTCATTTAGAGAGATGGATAAGTCGCCTTTATATAGATATTTTAAAGAATATATTACTGTTAAAAATTGTAATAGGAATTTTTTGTTTTCTTATTATTTCAAAGATTGTATATGGAGCTGTTAAGAACTCACATGGCCGAGTCTCACAAGCAGAGGCACAGTTAGTCACTTCTAATATTTGACATCATGGGAGTCTGGGTCTGGCTCAAAGAGACACGACTTGTTTGTTGGTGGTCATACTAGGTGGCAAAAATGAAACTGAGTATCAGAAGAGCCAAATCAGAAAGCCAGGCAAACCTTCTAAAGAAACTTTTATAAATGTTAGGTAATAGTATAGAAATTGGGGAGACTAGTTAATAGCAAATGTTAAAGAAGAGGGAAAGCAGTAGATGGGAGAGACTTTTTTTAACTCTTGAAAACATAGCTGTTTTTTATATGATGGCTGCCCTTGGGTATGGAATTCCCTGTGTAGTTAGGCAATAAGCCTTGAATGTGGTTTCATACCTTTATAATGTGTTTTAGAGAATTCTCCCCAAATGCTTTTTAGAAGTAGGTGGGTCACCAAGCATTATTACAAATAAGTTATTATGGCTGGGCTTGGTGGTGCAGCCTGTAATTCCAGCACTTTGGGAGGCCGAAGCGAATGGACTGCCTGAGCCCGCAGGTTCGAGACTAGCCCAGGCAACTTGGCCAAACCTCATCTCTACAATAAGTTAAAAATTAGCTGGGTGTGGTAGTGTGCACCTGTAGTCCAGTTACTTGGAATACTGAGGCAGAAGGATCGCCAGAGCCCAGCAGGTTGATGCTCATGTGGTCATGAGTATGCCACTGCACTCCAACCTGGGCAACAGAGTGAAACTCCAACTCAAAATAAAAAGACAAATAAGTAATTATGTAGTGTCTTAAATACACATAGTATAGGATTTTTGGTTTTATGTATGGCTAGTTGGGGGAAGGGATGGGAAAGAGTCATCTCAGGGTCTTAATGAAGCAAGCATGTTTCAACATGATTCATCTCTAAGATGATACAGTCGATTTATATATAATATGAAATGAAAAAAGGCATCTATAATATAGCAACTAATAAAGTAGATTTTTTTGTGGAAAATATTATTCTGTGTGATTAATTATTTTTTTATAATATGTCCTATTACCTTTCATTTAGGTTAGAATGGCGGAGGAACACTCTGAATTCGTGGTGGGTTTTATTTCTGGCTCCCGAGTAAGCATGAAACCAGAATTTCTTCACTTGACTCCAGGAGTTCAGTTAGAAGCAGGAGGTAAATCCATTCATTGGTTGTGGTTCTTCCAAAAATGCTTTTTTACCCACTGCAGACAAAATAAAACTTTGCATGTTGTTATACACTTACTTAAGAGAAGCCTTCTTAGTCTAGAACAATGATGAATGAGCCCTTTGGCCTGCTGATACGGACCCATTTGCAAAACAGCTTGCAGTCTTAATTTTATCATAAACATTTAGAAAGCTGCTTTTCATTGAAACTACCCCCAAAACTGATATTTATAGGTAAGTGTTTCTTAACTGGTGTTCTGAATATACTACCAAAAGCAGGTCTGTGATCAAGAAAGTTTGGAAAATCCTAGGCTACACAAAATTAAACATGTATTTCATTTTTAGAGGACTTGGCAGAGGCTTTGGTGTGCTAATGTCTATTGTGAATCTCCCGTGTGGGGATCTGTGATTCTATCATGTTTCCCAAAGTTACTTGAACATGTAACACTTTCAGTAGCCTGAAAAGTGCAGTTATAGTGGCTAAAAAGCAATGCCAATTTTTTCATGGGTAACCTTTTGTTCAATAAAGGTATAATCTAGGTTATGAAGTATATGAGAGGGCCCCCCCCCCCCAATACCGGAATTATCTTTTGGAAACCGGGGCTCTTGTAGTGTACTTGAAATTTGGATCAAATGGTCAACCAAAGTTTTTATCTGGAAGTTTTGAAAAGGTTGTGCCACGATTTATGGAAGAAACGTCCCAAGTTGTGGCAAACGGGTGACTGGTTCTTCCGCCATGACAACACACCTGCCCACACCGTGCTGAGTGTTCAGCACTTTTTGACCCAAAATGGCATAACCCCTGTGCCCCACCCTCCCTATTCACCCGATCTCGCCCCAGCGATTCTTTTTGTTTCCCTGGATTAAAGAAGTCCTCAAAAGGAAACATCTTGCTGATGTGGACGAGGTAAAACAACAGAAACACTAAACGGCATCAAAATTGACGAGTTCAGAAACTGTTTTGAGCAGTGGAAAAAACATCTACCTTGGTGTATTACATCAAATGGACAGCACTTTGAAAGTGACTGAAGTTTAAACATGTAAGGCAATCTTTTATAAATAAGTCTTGGGTTTTTGGGAGGTTCCCCCCTTGTACGTATTTAAATATACTATGGGACTCGATAAAACTATTTCCGTTTTGAATGAGGAAAAAATGACCTGGAAACATTTTATTTTTCCTGAATTGGTTTTTGTGCAGGAGAGATTGCTCATCACAGTTACTGAATTGGTTCTGTCCCACCTTGTCTTCTTTTTCCTTTTGCAGATTGGGCTTAAGAAGAAGGAGATTGGCACATTTGGGTTCTCAGTTTGCAAAATGATTTAAAATAAAAACAACTGCTTTTCTCCCCTTAGTGGAATTTTTTGGGGTTTACAAAAAAATCTGCTTTTAAAAAAATTGCAAAATCTAAAAGATACCTTTAAAAATAGTAAGGGAAAAGGCAGATTTTATACTAGTCACTCTTATGTAACTCATACCCACCTCTACTTCACATCGTCCTTTCCTCAGCTTGGCTTTCCTCTCCAGAGATAGCCACATAACTGGTGTGATGTGTGTCCTTGGAGACCCCTGACTTCCCATGTACTCATATATGTGCTGGGAGTCTGAAAAATGTTTTGTATGTGTGCAGCTGTGTTACATTTTTACATCTAGAGTTCCTCATTCCTGTTAGCAACTGCATCATGTTTCCTAGTTATAATTAAGCCACAGTGTGTTTAACCATCTCTCTGTGGGTGCATATAGATTGTTGACAGATAGGAAACATCCTTGTATATGTTTTTTTTTCTTTTTTTTTTTTTTGAGTTGGAGTCTCACTTGGTCGCCCAGACTGGAGTGCAGTGGCCACTCCCGGCCACCGCAGCCTCGATCTGCTGGGCTCCGGCGATCCTTCCACCTCAGCATTCCAAGTAGCCAGAATTACAGGCATGCGCTACCACACCCAGCTGATTTTTTGATTTATTGTAGAGATGAGGTCTCGCTGCCCTGGCGGGTCTCGCTGCCCTGGCGGGTCTCGAACCCGCGGGCTCAGGCAATCCACTCACCTCAGCCTCCCAAAGGTGCGGGATTACAGGCTGAGCCACCGAGACCGACAAATTTTTCATTTTTATTGTTAAATTTCTTTTTTTTTTTTGAGTTGGAGTCTCACTCTGTCGCCCAGACTGGAGTGCAGTGGCCGCTCCCGGCCACCGCAGCCTTGAC